TCTGTCCTTGAGCTTGGCACCAGTGGCTCTCACCTGTAATCCTAACTACTCTGGAGATTAAGAGCTGAGGATCGAGGTTTGGGGCCAGCATGGACAGAAAAGTCTGTGAGATGCTTATTTCCAATTAACCAGAAAAAAAAAAAAAAACAGAAGGGGAGGTTGCTCAAGTGGTAGAGTCCTAGCCTTGAGTGAACTAGCCAAGTACAACCTTAAGGCCCTGAGTTCAAGCCTCAGTACTGGTGCACACACACACATGCGCGCGCGCGCACACACACACACACACACACGTCCATCCTTGAGGTAAGGGACACACACACACAGTCCATATTACCTATTTTTTCTTTGTCTTTTCCTTCCTTCCTTCCTTCCTTCCTTCCTTCCTTCCTTCCTTCCTTCCCTCTCTCCCCTCTCTCTCTCTCTCTCTCTCTCTCTCTCTCTGCTTTCTCTGAGGAAAGCTGGCTGCCATATTGAGCTATGCAGTGGAGAGGCACAAATTCCGCCAGCCAACAGCTGGCAGGAAGCTGATCTCTGCAAACAGCAAGCTTGGAAGGAGGTCTTGTGAGGCCTGCATACAGCTCCGTCAGTGGGCTTTGAAGCAGATTAACCCCATATTGGGCCTTTTAACTGCAATATCAGCCAACACCTTGATTCCAGTCCTATGAGACTGAGCCAGAAGTACCAGCTAAGTCATGTGCAGATTCCAGACCCATAAAATGTGTGACCCAGAGAAATGAGTGTTGTTTTAAGTCTCCTACTCCTTTTGCAGTACTGGGGCTAAACTCAGAACCTCATGCTTGCTAGGCAGGCAATGTATCTCTTAAGCGTGTGTGTGTGTGTGTGTGTGTGCATGTGTGTGTGTGTGTGCGTGTGTGTGTGTGTGTGCGTGTGTGTGTGCGTGTGTGTGTGTGTGTGTGTGTGTGTGTGTGTGTGTTGCCAGCCCTGGGCACTATTCCTGAGGTTCTTTGGCTCCACGCTAGCTCTCCACCACTTAAACCACCACTTCCAGTTTTCTGGTGATTAATTGGAGATGAGTCTCATGGACATTCCTGTCTCAGCTGGCTTCAAACCATGATCCTCAGATTTCAGCCTCCTGAGTAACTAGGATTACAGTTGTGAGCCACTCTTGCCCAGCTTCCCTTTTAGGTTTAATTTTTCTTCAGGTAGGATCTTGCCTTTGCCAGAGCTGGATTCAAACCAACTCCTCCTGGTACCACCGCTACTCACCATCACACCCAGCTTGTTGGTTGAGATGTGGTCTCACTGTTTGCTTAAACTGGCCTCTAACCATGATCCTCCTGATCTCCACCTCCTGAGCAGCTGGCGGTACAGGCATGAACCACCGTGTGTGGCAAGCCACAAGCTTTGGAGTCATTTGTCATCTAGCAACAACTATTAATGTAGTCAGATTTAGACATCTGGGGTATATTCAGCCTGTGGAGGGCTTACGCTACCCTGCTAGCTATGTTTACAAATTTGAGAATTACAGCTCTGGAAAAAAAAAATCTACATTTCCTCCCACACCTTTTTATTCTGTTTATGTTTTTGAGCAAACAATATCAAACTTTAGTGACAGTTCTGGCTCTCTATTCAATTTTATTTTCTGCTTAATATGTTGCAAGTATTTTCTCACCTCATTAAATAATCTTCAAAGCCTCCTTTGTTCATAACAGCTCTTCCACAGTCCTCCAGAGGAGCAGATGGGCAGTCACTTAGCCACGCCCTTCTGGTTTCTAATTTATGGTAGAGTTTTGCCCTCTGGCATCATATCTCTTAGCTTGTGGGACCTCTCCATTTAAGGCTGCAATAAGAGTACACAGAAGGGTTGGAGGTGTGGCCCAAGGGGTAGAGAGCCTGCCTATCAAGTCAATCCTAGTCCTGCAAAGAGTTCAGGTGAGACTAAAGGAACTAAACCTATACTGATTCTTAGCTGTGTGCCCTTGAGCTTGTTATTTAACTCACCTGGCCTCAGTTTTCCCTTCTGAATCACAGAGATGATAGCATTTACCTCATAGGGGTTTCACTGAGTTCATAAAGTCCAACAGCAGGATGCCTTACAGATTTCAGGATGTAGAGACACTAACTACACACACCACAGTACCTTGTTCTCATTTAGTCCCAGCCTCCAGTACCTAATGGCAACTCCATTTTGTGTGTCAGTATTGGAACTTGAACTCAGGGCCTGGGCACTGGAAGGAAACTGCAACCTTGCAGACCTAATCTCCACCTTCCATGGCAGCGCCTGCGCAGGAGGTGAGGCACCGACCATTTCTGGGCCCCCCAACAATATAAAAGGGGCCTCCCAGAAGCCAGAAGGCGCCCTTTACTCCCTTTCCTCAAGGTAACTTGGCCTTGTCAGTCCTGCTGGCAATAAATCTTTTCTTCTACTTGACTTTTGTCCACATGGTCTTTGGGGTTACTTTCTGCCTAGGTTACATTTTTTTCCTTCAGGCACTATTTTCCAGCTTTTGTGTTCAAGGGCTGGAACTCTACCATTTGAGCCACAGCCCCACTTCTGGCTTTTTCTTTTTTTTTTTTGGTCCAGTCGTGGGGCCTGAACTCTGGGCCTGGGCACTGTCCCTCAGCTCTTCAGCTCAAGGCTAGCGCTCTACCACTTGAGCCACAGCACCACTTCCAGCTTTTTTCTTATGTGGTGCTGAGGAATCGAACCCAGGGCCTCAGGCATGCAAGGCAAGCGCTCTACCACTGAGCCACCTTCCCAGCCCTTCTGGCTTTTTGCTAGTTGAGATAAGCATCCATTGGTCAACTGGGTGCTCATACCTGTAATCATCTGTACAAGCAGATTTTTTGGGGGGGGGTCGGTCTTGGGGCTTGAACTCTGGGCCTGGTCCCTGTCCCTCAGCTCTTCAGCTCAAGGCTAGTGCTCTACCACTTGAGCCACAATACCACTTCCGGTTTTCTGAGTGGTTTATTGGAGATAGGAGTCTCACAGTCTTTCCTGCCTGGGCTGGCTTTGAACCGCAATTCTCAGATCTCAGCCTCCTGAGTAGCTAAGATTACAGGCGTGAGCCACCTGTACCCCGCACAAGCAGATATTTAAACAACTAGCGAAAGCAAAAGATTAGAAACTGTATTTATCCTCATGTGTATTGTGGTCTTGACACCCAGGAGTGAGTTCCATTGTGACTGTCTCAGTCACATGTATAAAAACCTGGATGAGGGTCTGGGAAGGTGGCTCAGTGGTAGAGCACTTGCCTTGCATGCCTGAGGCCCTGGGTTGGATTCCTCAGCACCACATAAGCAAAAAGAAAAAGCCAGAAGTGACGCTGTGGCTCAAGTGGTAGAGCGCTAGCCTTGAGCTGAAGAGCTGAGGGGCAGCGCCCAGCCCAGGCCCAGAGTTTAGGCCCCAAAACCGGACCCAAAAAAAAAAAACCTGGATGAAAGCCGGGCACCAGTGGCTCATGCCTGTAATCCTAGCTGAGATCTGAGGATCAAGATTCAAAGCCAGCCCCGACAGGAAAGTCAGAGAGACTTTTTTTTGTTGTTGTTGGTCATGGGGCTTGAACTCTGTGCCTTGGCACTGTCCCTCAGCTCTTCAGCTCAAGGCAAGTGCTCTACCACTCGAGCTACAGCGCCACTTCTGGTTTTCTGGTGGTTTATTGGAGATAGGAGTCTCACGGTCTTTCCTGCCCAGACTGGCTTTGAACTGTGATCCTCAGATCTCAGCCTCCTGAGTAGCTAGGATTACAGCGTGAGCCACCAGCGCCCAGCTGTCATTGAGACTCTTATCTCCAATAAACCACTAGAAAACCAGAAGTGGCGCTATGGCTCAAGCGATAGAGCTCTCACCTTGAGCTGAAGAGCTGAGGGACAGTGCCCAGGCCCAGAGTTCAAGCCCCATGACTGACAACAACAACAACAAACAAAAAAACCTGGATGGAAAACTGGGGCTGCTACCCTCAAGATCCCTCCCCTGAGGGTTCCCCTGGAGTATGAGTGAAGCCCCGTATCAGAGCAGATATCCCAGTGTAGCCCCATCGGTGCATAAGTCCCTGATCTGTCAGCTGCCATCAGACCAGAGCCAAGGGTGTTCAGGGAGTTGCTCCAGGGGCTCCACAGGTATTGAGTGTCTGGAATTGCCTAAAGTTGGACTGCTGCCTGGGAAGCCACAGGCCGCGGGCCGCCAAGTTTGAGTCCAACCCTGGCAGCTGCCCCTTCCCCCATTCTCTCCCCGCCTTGGTCCTGGAGGAGGATGGCGCTGAGGTCCACTGGCCAGGCTTGTTGGGAAAGAGGCAGGAAGCCAGCGGACAATGGCCTAGAGATTGGTGTGGAAATGCAGAGCAGCCTGACCCAGGCATCCTCCTAACTCCAACCCCCAGCTTATTTCATTTCTTTCCTGCCCGGGCTGGCTTTGAACTCGATCCTCAGATCTCAGCCTCCTGAGTAGCTAGGATGACAGGCGTGAGCCACCTCCGCCCAGCCCCAGCTTGTTTCTTGCTGCTGAAAGCACTGCTGTGGGAAGTGGGAGCAACTCCCAGACTTCTCTGCAGCCTCTCCTCACCTAGGTTTGGACTTTGCAATGTCCCCAGCTGCAGCCAGGTTTCTCATACCCAGGGAATGACCAGGCACCGTGGAGATCCCCATCTGCTCCCAGCAATAAACCTCTTGATCGCCTTAGGTTTCTAGGACTTGAGCTCCTTGGGCACCTGGTCCAAGATCCCACCAGAAGACAAAGAAAGGAACAGATGGCTCCAAGAAAGTCTGCATGGGAAAAGATGTTTTTTTTTAATGATAATTTAAAAGACAGGGCTGGGAAGGTGGCTCAGTGGTAGAGCGCTTGCCTTGCATGCATGAGGCCCTCAGCACCACATAAGCAGAAAAAAAAAAGCCGGAAGTGGCAATGTGGCTCAAGCGGTAGAGTGCTAGCCTTGAGCTGAAGAGCTGAGGGACAGCACCCAGGCCCAGAGTTCAGGCCCCACAACCAGACCAAAAAATAATAATAATAATTTTAAAGGCTATGTGACTTTATCCATGTCACTGGAGTGGTAACCTTGATTTTTCTGGATGACTGTGGTGGTGAAATAAAATAATGGTGGAGATCACTGGCCACAGGAGTGACAGCTATTTCTCCATGGTAAAATCCTGAACCAACTGGTCGACTAAGAAGGGTGGCCTCCAGGAGAAATGGAGGAACAGCCTGGTACTAAGGCTGTTGTTTCCTGAGTCCCAGGAAGGGGCAGCCCTGCTGGGGCAAATGGGCTAGAATTGAACTTGAGCAGAGGAGAGCAGTGGGAAGGCCAGGAGAGGGTGGAGGTCAGGATCCTCCTCCAGCCTTTGGCCATCTGCTCCAGGGAGCAGGAGCTCGGGCTTGTGTACCTGGCTCTGTGGACACGTGAGCCCCAAAGCCACCGCTGGGTTGTGTGCCGAAGACTCAGGCCTTCCTTTGATAGGGTGCTCCAGCCCAAGGAGCTGTAGAGAGGCAGGCTGGGCCGGGGGACTGGGCAGGCGGGCACTGAGCTTAGGACAGTACACAAGGAAGTTGGAATCAGGAGGCAAAGCAGACAGGACAGGGCTGGGGGACAGCTGGGCAGGAGGAAAAGTCACTATAGGTGGTCCAGGAGATAATGAGGGCTGTGGTGGCGGGGATGGGAGGAGGCCAGGAGAATCCTGACCCTGTGGATTTGAACACAGATGCTGGTCTAGTGGATTTGAACACAGTTGCTGGTCTAGTGGATTTGAACACAGATTCTGGTCTAGTGGATTTGAACACAGATTCTGGTCTAGTGGATTTGAACACAGATTCTGGTCTAGTGGATTTGAACACAGATTCTGGTCTAGAGGAGAGGAACCGGGCTTCTCCTGGCAGCCATGTTGTCTCTCAGGGGCAGACTGTCCCTGGAGTTGCTCAGCCTGGCCCCAGCAGGTGGTAAGCAGTGGAGTTGGGGTGGAGGCACATTTCAGGGGGCACTGGCGCTCATGGAGGTGCAAGGTCCGGCTCCACCAGGTCAGCTCTGCCTGCAGGGTGTGGATCTCCTTCCGCAGGGCGTGGTTGTGTTTCTCCAAGGACTCATGCTGCTGGGGGGGGGGGAGAAACAGATGGACAGGGAGGGGATGTCAGCCTGGTCATGGCCAGCACACACCCTGTGCCACTCCAGAGTCTGTATTGCTGAGAAAAGACACCACTACCTTTTGCATGTGCAGGATGGAGCCCCTTGCCCATACTCTGACCATCTGTCCACCGTTATCCACCAATTCTTTGTTTTTTTGTTTTTAATGGCATGCATGCACATGTGTATGTGTGTGTGTGTGTGTGTGCATGCACACGCACTACTAGGGCTTAAACTCCAAACCTTGTGTTCTCAATTGGTTTTTTCACTCAAGGCTGGCCCACACACATACTCTTCCAGCCTGTGGCTGGTTAAGTGTAGGTAAGAGTCTTACAGACCTTTCTGCCAGGGCTGCGTTGAACCACGATCCTCAGATCTCAGCCTCCTGAATAGCGAGGATTACAGGTGTGAGTCACCTATGCCAAGTTCTCCATCCTGTGTCCTCATAGGACTCAGACCTGCCCAATACTGCTCCTAGGCGCTACCACTATTTCTCAGCTGAGAAATTCTCTTGGCCTGAAACATCTGAAGGTTTTTGAGATGCTCAGAATCCATAATCCCTGTCCAGGGGTCAAGGCCAGCATGGCAGTCCCAGTGCAAACTGCCAGCTCTGTCTTGTTCCCTTGAATTCCTGTCATTCAATTGGAATTTGCATCTGCTACGCAATTTCTGTCTCTTCTGATGCTTCCTACCTTGCCCTGTGCCGGTCCTGAGGTGGCCTTCCTGTGGCAAATGCAAAGTTATTGTGTCCTAGACACCTCGAATCTGGTTAATGCCATTGCCAGGCCCCTCTAACCTGGCCTAGAAGCCCCCAGCGCTTCCAGAGCACCATGTGGGGGGACTGAGGACACTGCTTCTCAGGTTGGCAGCATGGGTGTGTTTTACTGGGTAAAACATAGCTTTTCCTACATGCTGTTCTGAGGAACACGTTTTGGGGAGATCCATCAAGGTGGACCTCTCAATGACCATGTACACATAGATAGTGGCAACAAGGATAGAAACGAAGAGAGACTTCTCTTGAGCTAGGGGATGATGTCTGTCTAATCCTAGCTATTCAGGAGGCTGAGATCTGAGGACTGCAGTTTAAAGCTAGACCTGGCCGGAAAATCCATGAGGCTCTAATCGCCAATTAACCACCAAAAAGCCACAAGTAGAGCTGTGGCTCAAGTGGTAGAGGACCAATTTTAGCCAAAACTAAAAGCTAAGAGATAGTGCCCAGGCCGAGTACCAGCCCCAGTACTAACTTGTGTGCGCCCATGTACACACACACACACACACACACACACACAAATTTCATTCCACAGACCCTAGGCTGCATAACTGGAAACATCATCCTTGGTTCCCTATGTGTGACACTTTAAAAGGAGAAGTTGCAGGCAGGGGCATTTTGCATAAGAATGTGGCTGAGGCCAAGGACTCCAGGTTCAGTGGCCTCATTGTCAGACTGGTTTCTGCTTGTGGAATGGATGTTTCTAAACCTCAGCTGAGCACGAGTGGCTCACACCTGTAATCCTAGCTACTCAGGAGGCTGGGGTATGAGAATTCTGGTTCAAAGCCAGCACGCTTATCTCCAATTAAGCACAAAAAATGGCAGAAGTGGAGCTGTGGCTCAAGTGGTAGATTGCTAAACTTGAGCACAAAAGCCCAGAGACAGTGCCTAGGCCTTGAGTTCAAGTCCCTGGACTGGCACAAAAGGAAAAGAAAAAAAAAAACACCTCATCTGTGGAAGCCACAACTCCCAACTGACTGTAAAGATAAGACTTTTAGGAAGTAATTTAGATTAAATGAGGTCAAAAGGGTAAGGATCTAATCTGATAGGGCTGGTGGCCTTATTAGCAGAGAAAGGGAAAAGGGTCCCTCTCCTGCCACACCTACAGAGAGGTCACAAGTACTCATCACCAAGATGGCCACTTATAAGCCAGGCTGGGCGCCCTTAGCAGGAAGAAAACCAAGGGGCACCTTGATCCACCAAGTGCTGAGCTGTCTGTGTTGAAGCCCATCTATGGCTTTGCATGGTGGTCTGAGCAGATGGCATATGGCCCCAGAGCTGCCCATTGCCTAGAACAGAACAGTGCCAAGCAAAGAGGAGATTTAACAGTTTGCTGTGGAGCAAGGGGACATCCATGAGGCCTTCCCCAGCTGCAGGCTGGGCAAATGCTGGCACCATGTTCCTGTCGGGATTTCCCAGCCTCTAGAACCAGGAGCTAAATACAACTCTTTTCTTTAGAAGTTAACCCAGTCTGTGGTGCTGTGTTACAGAAACAAAAGATAGACTAAGACAGAGGGCATCCCCACCTCATGCAGGGCATCTGCCTTGTCCGTGTGCTTCTGCCGGCTGCGCTGGGCGGCCACCCGGTTCTTCTGTTTCTTCTTCAGCTGCCTCTGACACTCCACCTGGTTCTGCTAGGCATAAAAGAAGGCTCTAGGGTCCTGGCAGGGGACCTGAGCTCCTCTCTCTCCCTGGGCACCCAAAGCACAGGTACTTCCTTGTAATGCCGGTCCTATCCAGGGTGCTGCTCACAGCTCAACTGGGAGGTGAGGAAGCCTAGATAATTGGTTTTTATTATTTTTATGCCAGTCCTGGGGCTTGAACTCAGGGCCTGGGCACTGTCCCTGAGCTTCTTTGGCTCAAGGCTAGCACTCTACCACTTGAACCAGAGCACCACTTCTGTATTTTTCTGAGTAGTTTATTGGCGATGAGTGTCACTGATTGGGCAGGAAAGTGGCTCAGTGGTAGAACGCTTGCCTGGGTTCGATTCCTCAGCATCACATAAGCAAAAATAAAAAAAGCTGGAAGTGGCGCTGTGGCTCAAGTGGTAGAGTGCTAGCCTTGAGCTGAAGAGCTGAGGGACAGCGCCCAGGTCCAGAGTTCAGGCCCCACAACCGGACCCCCCCAAAAAAGAAAAGAAAAGAAAAAAAAAGTGTCACTGATTTACCTGCCCAGGCTGGCTTTGAACTGCAATCCTCAGATCTCAGCCTCCTGAGTAGCTAGGATTACAGGAGTGCGCTACTGGCACCTGGCTAGAAGCCTGAAATTTAAGCCCAGACAGAAAGGGCTTCAAACAGGCCAAGTCTCTCTGGATTAGGCACTCATGTCCCTAAGCCCAGTTAACTCACCTGTACCTAAAGGCACAGGGGACCTTCTTTTCGCCAAGAATGGAGGAGAGAATCTGGCACAGGTGGCCTTGTGCCAGCCAGGAATGGCAAAGGTCAGCGCTGTTATGCCAACTGCTGTGGTTTCCACAGGCCAGGTGCTGAGGTTCCCTACCCGACGGCTCGGTGAGGGCAGGGCCAGGGCTGACTCAGTTCCATGTGCCAGTGCCCAGCTTGGGTCTGAAACAGATGTTCATTTGCTCAACAAACAACTGTTGACCACCTACTACTATGTGCCAGAGCCTCAGCTAGGACACAGCAGCCAATAAACCAGACAAAACTCCCTGTCCACGTGCTCACTCTACAGTGGGCCCGCAGCCATAGGCAAAGACCGAAGAGTGGCCCCCCCACAAAACCTGGGAACCATGAAACCTAGATGAAACATCCAAATGCCCAGAGCTCTGGAAAACGAGGGCAAGAGGGGAGAGTTAGCTCGCCACCCCCCCCCCTACGGAAGTGTGACAGGTATAAGGGCCTGGAGACCCTGCCCAGGGACTCTGGATCTGGATGTCCCCGGTTCGCGGCTACCCTGGGCCCTGTCCTCCCAGGGACTCCTGAGTACAGCAGGTTCATTTTGGACTCTGGAGAGTCACAAGATCAGAGGCTGGGGAAAGGAGGGGGAGAAACCACATCTGGGGAGACTTGGGAGGGAAGAAGAGACTGGAAGACAGTGAGGGATGAGCTTGTGAACGGGAGGCGGCAGGGACCCAGTTCTAAACTCAAATCTGGTCTGTAATATGAGAGCTAGGGAAGACTCATCCCAACGCCCCCAGCTCTTCCGGAGAGGAACAGCCAGCCAGGCACTGGAGACTCACACCTGTAATCCTAACTCTTCAGGAGACAGATCTCACGATCCATGTTCTAAGCCAGCCAGGCAATCGAGTCTAATGACTCATCTCCAATTAACCACCAAAAAGCTGCAAGTGGAGCTGTGGCTCAAGTGGTACAGCACCAACCTTGAGCAAAAACAAAAAGCTAAGCGACCGTGCTCAGGGCCTGAGTTCCAGCCCCAATACCAGTGCACGCACATACAAATTGAGACCCAGGAAAGAGGAGGATGCACCCTGTGTGTGTGCGGAAGTGGGACTAGAACTCTGGCTGTATCCCTCCCCCTCCCATCCCCCATTGTCCAAACCCTGGGAGGGAACCTCAGCTTACTCCCCTTCTCCCCCATTCCTGGTCCCGATACTCACTGTCCCAGACAGCAGCACATCCTGGCCACAGAGGTGCATGGCTCAGGCAGGAGTGGCAGAGGCTCCAGGTCCCCACCAGCATCTGCGACCTCCCAGTGCCCTCTGGGGGAAGTGGTGCCTCTTTAAGTCCTCAGTGACCACTCCCCCCCTCCCCCCCCTCCTGCAAGTCCAGTTTCAGTTTCTTCTAAAGCCACCGGCTGCTCAGAATCCCTGGCTCAGGCTTGCTCATGTGGCTGGGACTTCCTAACATGCACTGGCCTTCCGGTGGGGCCCCTTCTCTGGGAGGAGGCCAGGTGAGGGCGGAGTAGAGGGGCATGGAAGGCCAGGTGTCAGGTGGTGCCCTAGGGAAGAAGGACCTTCAGGCTGCCGGGGACAGAGCCAAGAGGAGGAGCCAGTGGGGTCCCAGAGCTTATGTGAGGTTGTGGGGAGCCCCTGTTTTCTGGGGGAGAGCCCAGGTTTACAATCTTCATTGAAGCTGTGCAGCTTGGAGAAGATGATTCACCCTCTCTGGGCCTTTGTTTCCTCATCAGTAAAGGGTATGGGAGGAATGATACAGATTCCCAGGCTTAAGGTCGGGTCTGAGTGAAACAATGCAACCGTCCTAAACGTTATAAGGCCCTCAGAAGTTTTAGTTTTACCAGATGGGTAAAATACCACACAACATGGAGAGACCAGCTTCCCAGTCATGTGACCTGAGTTAGGTAAACTCACCCTTGCTGTAGTTTTGGTTCCAAATCTGTAAGGAGAGGGTGGAAATCATTCTGTGACGAATATATAATGAATGAAGGCAGGTGAGTTGCATGAACCATGCCAGTGCAAGGTCTGCAAAGAAATGGCTCAATCATAAGGGCAGGAGATGAAACGAAGCTCATAATCAGGCCTAAAAGGCCGGAGCACCCAGTTATACAATAGCAACTGCCACGAGACCTGAACAATAGAGACAGGAGCCAGCCGCTCACGCCTGTAATCCTAGCTACTCAGGACCCAAAACTGAGGATTTGAGGATCACTGTTCAAAGCCAGCTGGTTAGGAAAAAGTCTGAGAGACTCCTATCTCCAATTAATCTTCTGAAAGCCAGAAGTGGAACTGTGGCTCAAAGCAGTAGAGTATTAGCCTTGAGCAAAAAGAGTTTAGGGACAGCACTCAGGCCCTGAGTTCAAGCCCCACAAGCAACAAAAAAATAAAAATTTGTAAATAAGATTCTGTAAAGTTTGATATCAATATGTAAATAGGTAATAAAGTATAAAAGTGTGCATGGAAGGGAATAAGAAATAAAATTGAGAGTCATGGATGTGGGTTGAGTCCTGAAAGGTGGGTTGAGAGGCCTGGGGACTTCTTTTGAGAAAGATAGTGAATCACTTTTAAATATATTGCAGTATATACACAAACAGCATAAAGAACCTAAATGAGAGCTGTTGGCCAGTAGGGGAATGGAGGTGGGGAAAGAGAAAACGGGCTTTGTTGGGGAATGAACACTAGCGGGAGAGGGTTAGGATAGGGAGGACGAGGGGCTGGGAAGGCGGCTCAGTGGTAGAGCGCTTGCCTTGCATGCATGAAGCCCTGGGTTCGATTACTAAGCATCACATAAGCAGAAAGAACTGGAAGTGGCACTGTGGCTCAAGTGGTAGAGCGCTAGCCTTGAGCTAAAGTGCTCAGGGACAGTGCCCAGGCCTAGAGTTCAGTCCCCACGACCGACCCAAAAAAAAAAAAGTATAGTGGGGACGAAAAAAGATGAATACACATGATGAAGGAAATAGGTTGTTTCCAACTATGAAAATAGAACAATGGCCTGGCTCTGGAGGCTCACATCTGCAATCCTAAATTAACATTAACAATTAAAAAAAATCTTTGTACCCATTCACCAGTGGCTCACTCCTATAGCCTTAGCTACTTTAAGAGACTGAGCTCTGGAGAATGGCAGTTCGAAGTCAATTTGAACAGAAAAATCTGCAAGAATCCATCTCTAAAAATAAGCATAGAGCCAGGCGCTGGTGGCTCACACCTGTAATCCTAGCCACTCAGGAGGCTAAAATCTGAGAATTGTGCTTCAAAGCCAGCCTGGGCAGGAAAAGTCCATGAGACTCTAATCTCCAATAAACCACTCAGAAAACCAGAAGTGGTGCTGTGGCTCAAGTAATAGAGTGCTAGCATTGAGCTAAAGAGCTGAGGGACAGCACTCAGGCCCAGAGTTCAAGCCCCATGACCTACCAAAAAAAATTTTTTTAAATCCTGGCTAGAGTCTGTGGCTAGAGTGAGGGAGCACCAAGGGAATATGAGGCCCTGAGATTTGAACTCAGTACCGCCAAAACAAACAAAATCAAATCTCAACTAGCAAAGCCTAAAGCTCCAGGTAAACTTCCATGGTCATGATCTTTGGAAGTAAGACCTTGTTTGGATGGGCTGGGAAGGTGGCTCAGTGGTAGAGCGCTTGCCTTGCATGCCTGAGGCCCTGGGTTCGATTCCTCAGCACCACATAAGCAAAAAGAAAAAAGCCGGAAGTGGCGCTGTGGCTCAAGTGGTAGAGTGCTAGCCTTGAGCTGAAGAGCTGAGGGACAGTGCTCAGGCCCAGAGTTCAGGCCTCACAACTGGACCAAAAAAAAAAAAAAAAGACCTTGTTTGGACAGAATATCTGTTAGGGACAGAGGAGCCAGTAACCACTGTCCACAACAAGTATGCTATATGTAGGATCCTATGGTCTGGTGAGCATCTTGGAGTTGTGCCTGAGTCTGAGGGCTCAAGGCTGATGAGACTACTAGGATGGCAAGTGCTGTGGATATGACAATTACTGATGAGTGGCGGTGGTCTGGAGTGGATGTGCTGAATTTTCCGCTGCCTGTGAGCAGATTAGAAAAGAATCTTGCAATGATTGGTAGTGTCTGCCATGCTGTGATTGATTAGTGATGTCTGCCATGAACAGAGACATAGTAAGTAATTTTCTACCCTCTCTTTAACTAAGTCTAAAACTTCCCTGGGTAGCTTTAGCATTGGAAAACTTCACTCTGAGTGCTGGTATGCTGCTTATCAGGTTTATCACCTGATATGTTCACTGGGGATGATGGAGAAAACAAACCTATTATAGTTCTGTTGTTTTGAAGAAGGGAAGGAATGAGGTGAGAAGAAAGTTTTTCCAATATTGTAAAGTCCTGTCCTGCTAGATATATTCCTCCTTCAGAGATTTATGGAGACATTCTAGATTCTAAATCATTGAATGCCATCTCATAATGAGAAATGCTGGATAGGTGGGCAGGACTGGGCCCAATATCTGGGTCCTGCTGCCTTGCTTCGAAGGGGGTTGAGACAGATTGGAGCACCCCACGCAGTAAGGCTGCCATTTCTCTGAACTGTTTTTGTTTCTCAGAAACCAAGAGGGCAGGGGTAGAGTCTTACCTGAAACAAACACCTGAGGGGCTCATTAGTAGTCCATGAGCTCCATAGGGAATGGATCTGGAGCAGGCTGTGTGTGATGTAACCCCTAAAATACCTGTGTGGGTACCTAGAGCACAGATACCCACCCTCTCTCCCCAGCTTATAGTCGCAAACGCAGACTCCCAGGCCCTGGCTTCTGCTAGAGGGTAGACAAGCAGCAGGTGTGGCTTCTAAACCAGCCAGCCAGCCCCAGCCCTGGAGGAAAAGCAGAGGTAGCATTTATGGCTTGCTCTCCCAGAGGAGATGGCTTGGAGAGGGAGGGGCAGGCAAGGAGGGACTCTAAGGGTGAATAAGGTTGAACCTTGCATGCCTATGCAAAGCTTCTCTCCAGGGCGCTTGACCTCCTGGCTGGCAGAGTCACCAAGCCTGAGCCTTCCCTCAGATAGGGCAGGAGGCTCAAACTACATTTATTTCTCACAGTATGGGAAGCTGGGAGTCTAAGGTCAAGGTGCTGGCAGATTCTGTGGTGGCAAACAAAGTTCTGCTGCTTTTTTTTTTTTTTTTTTTGTCAGTTGTGGAGCTTGAACTCTGGGCCTGGGCGCTGTCCCTCAGCTCTTCAGCTCAAGGCTAGCACTCTACCACTTAAGCCACAGCACCACTTCCGGCTTTTTCTGTTTATATGGTGCTGAGGAATCGAACTCAGGGCCTCATGCACGCAAGGCAAGCACTATACCACTGAGCCACCTTCCCAGCCCCCTCTGCTTGCTCTTTGACACTAACCCTGCTGGATGTGGAGGCACACACCTATGAACCCAGGTAATTGGGAGGCAGAGATCAGGAGGGTCATGTTCAAGGCCAGTCTAGGCAAGAGTTAGTGAGACACCCCCCCTCTCCAACAAGTTGAGTTTGGTGGCCACTTCTGCTAACTATACAGGAGGCCTGGGTAGCTATAGTATGGCTTATGATTGACTTGGGGCAAAAAAAAAAAAAAAAAAAAAATGAGAGGCCTTATCAGAAAAAAATCCCTAAATAAAAAAGGGCTGGAGGTATGGCTCAGGCTCAAATGGTAGCGTGCTCCCTAACAGCACAAGTCCCTGAATTCAAACCTTAGTACTGATCAACAAAGGGGGGGGAGGTCTAATTCCATCATGATCTCATGACCTCATCTAAACCTAATTACTTCTGATCCTTGCTCTTCCCACACCTCCTGGGGTCTCCAGCTGCCCAGGAGTGTAGATCCTCCCTACTTCCTCATCCCTCATGTTAGGCCAGACCTCCTTCAAGTCACCTGAGGGAAGCAGAAGGGGCCAAGTGGCTCTAGTGGGACAAAGTATGTGTGGGTCAGTAAACTCCTAGCCTCAACCAAAAAAAAAAAAAAAAGATGGGCAGGCTCTATCTCAGGTTTTGGAATTTATTCTTGGCCAAATCACTTAAAATAATCTTATGATTCCTTTGTTAAATGGAGATAATAACAAAAATTGTATATAAAATAATAAGTATAAAAAGGCTTAGAACACTGGTATGCAATAAGTCACATAGACATCTAAACTTTTTTCCTTTAATAGCATAGGTATTTTATTTTAATTAGCTTACCTTAAATATAGAGGGAAGGGTTTTTCTTTTTTCTTTTTTTTTTTTTCCTTTGGGTCCAGTCCTGGGACCTGAACTCTGGGCCTGGGCGCTGTCCCTCAGCTCTTCAGCTCAAGGCTAGCGCTCTACCACTTGAGC